CTTAGAATTTACGCTGACCAGGCACATCTTTTGGGTATTTTTTTTTCATTTGTTTTTCCACCTCTCCTTGGAGTGGGATTAATTTCTTGATAGTGTTTAAAATTTTTTTTGTCACTTAGGACAACAAGGCGTGCACTCTCTTCCCTTACCTCTGCCGTCTTCTGCCCCATTTTGCTACTTTATAGTTTTAACTGCTGTAGGGTACACATTGTAGTATACAGCTACTGGCTGACATGTATCAAACTCCTAGAAAGTGTTATATGGACTCTGCTGCATGGGAGCAGATCCTTCAGAGGTCTTTTATGATTAAGCATGTACTGAATGACTGCCTGTGATACAGAGAGACAAGACTTGCATTCAGTCCAAGCAGTTTCCAAGTTAATATATAAGAAAGCATAGACATCCACAACTCATTTATGAAGCTCACACTGTTAAACCAACATTTGAAAAGCTTAGCTGAAGCTCAATTTAATTAATTACATACTGGGGTTTTTCAAGTTATGGGTGTACTCCAGGCATAGTTTTCTTTATTTAAGGCACTTTAAGTTCTACAATTTTTCACAGAAGTAAACAATTTTCTGGATCTACTTAGAGCTTACTTATAAGAGGGACTTACATGCTACCAATTCTTTGAGAATCTCCTAATAGGTTTCATTGCCAGTTTTAAGGAAAGCATTTTTTGGTTATGGATATTATTTTTCTCATACAGTTTTGGGGTTTTTTTTCTAATAAAAGCCTGTTTACAAGGAATAGCATCTAGAAGAAATGTTTTTCCTCAACATAGTGATTCAGAATCAGATCATTTGCTTTCTAGTTTTAGATATTTCCTTTGGAGGCTCCTTAATGACAATCTTGATTGAACTTCCAGGGTAGGGGGAGGGGAAATACATAATGAATGATGTATTGAAAAACTACAAAATCCAGAAATTTATCAGATATTCTACACAATATCAGATATTCCATACAATCACAAATGACATAGTATGTTTTTGAAAATAACCATTTATCCTTATAATAATTATACTTTTAAACAGATCAAGTAGCAAGATGTCTTAAATAATAGGACACTATTTTGTGTTTAAGAAAATTAATTTCCTTTGTTAATAGATAAGATACAGAAAAATAAAAGTGGTATGAGATAAAACTCCTTTGGGATACAACTACTCAGTTTCTGCAGAAGCTATATCCCCAAAGAGAAGAATCTGTAAAAGATCTGGAAGTAATCAGAAACTGTTGTAGTGTTTTGGCTAGGAGAAGTAAAAAAAAAGAAAAAAAAGAAAAAAGTAATCGAAATCTAAATCTGATATAAGAAGGAATTACACTGCAAAAATTAATGTATTTTTCTTTAAACTGTATGGTTTATTGAAGAAATCTGCCACTCCAACAGCAACACAGCTGTGACATGCTCATCTAGGCTGAGGGAACAAAGACCAGCTAATCAAGCACAGATCTTGTCAAACGTAATACATCTTCATCTATTTTATGTTAAAATAGACTAAATCCAAATAAAAATGCCTATTTTAGGAAAAGTGAGGATCATTATATGTTTATTATTAATTATCTAGAAAAAATTATTTCAAGTACTTGGATGTATGATTATGGCTTATAAAAGAAATAAAGAAAATAAAGCCTTCAAATTAACCTCAGTGCTAATCAAACGAAGTAGGTAATACTAGGATAAAATACAATGGATGTAGGCAAGTGCAAGTTACAGTACTAGAGAGATTCTGAAAATACAGAATAGTGCTTTTTATTCTTCTCCAAACCCACAAATGATGCATCATAACTACAGGAGTTCCTTTAAAACTTAAAATGTCTTTTTTCACAGAAACTCCAAATTCCTTTGGGGGAAAGCCTTGATTGCATATCCCTCAGAGTCTAAAAGGCTGCCCATATGAACTGAATTATCCATGACATGTACCTTCAGACATTTGTAATGTGATATTTCATGTAAATTTAGACCATACCTTGGATGTGAGCCGCTGGCAATGTTGATTTTATTCAGGAGCTCAGATAAGAAAAAAAATTCTGACATCCTTGCTAATCTGTAGTCGTTAACATGGAATTTCCAACATAAAAAGCATAAAAGCATCTAATTTGCTGTAGCAAATGAAAGGAAAACAAACTTCGCATTTCCCTTTCCTTTTCAATGTCTAAAGTTACTTTGTCCTGTGCAAACAAAATTGTACTTTTCAAAGGTTTTTATTATCGTCATCTATCTTTTGAGTGACACATTTCAAACTTGCCCACATAATCTGTAAAATGTCATTCAATTTGAATATGAAGGATTTACCCATGTTAGGAAGAAAAACCCTAGTTACATAGGGAATACTAAAAAACCACAGTACTTTATATAGTCTTTCCAGCTCATATTAATTAATCTTTCATATGAAAAAGCTCAGGTAGCACTATTCCTTTCCCTTCCCTTCCCTTCCCTTCCCTCTTTTCTTTTTTTTTCTTTTCTTTCTTTCCTTTCTTTTCTTTTTTCTTTTCTTTTTTCTTTTTTCTTTTTTTTTCTTTTTTCTTTTTTTCCTTTCCTTTCCTTTCCTTTCCACATGAGTTATCCTCATTTGCTACAAAAAACAGCTTGTAAGATCCTAATTACAAGTTCTGTTAGCATTAGGCTGGATTACAATATTTCTCTCTCTGCCATTCTCTTCTTCTAATCATCTTATGTATTAGTATTTTTGTAGCATTTATCTCATGTTTTAATTTGACAGATAGTTTAAAAATTTAAATAGAAAAAAACCCCAGCATTTTCACTGCAGATGAATAGAACTAGAGACTGGTTTGTTTACACCTATAGCATAAAAGACAATATTCTGTGGAGATGCAATTGTACACAGGCAATACTCCAAGAGTTAGGAAGGTGAAAGGAGGAGATTGCAATTTGCGCCCTTGCAGCCCCCTGTTGACCAACTCCTGCAGAAACAATTAACATCACTCCACAACACAGCATTAACTCCTGAAGTAATAAATGGACATGAGGAGACACAATCTTCCTTATTTAGAAGACAAGAAAACAACCCTGAAGTATCAGATGGGGTATAAAAACTAAAAGCTTGCAATTTCCCCAAGTAATTAGGTAGGTGGAAAATAGTTCTTCCAAGCAAACACTGAAGAAAATAAATGTTTGAAACTTCAAAATTATTAGGCTCTTCAAATTATTACAGATATAAAATGCATCTTATTTTTAAAACAATCAAATACTTTGAAATAAAACCCAACGTGCATAATAGTCATAAAAATAACAAATTGATTTTAGCTGCATTTGTTACATAGCTTTACTGAGATGTCTAAAGAAAAAGCATTGCAGAAAGAGCTTAAATTTCTCTCTCTTCCTTTCAATCAATATTTGAGGCAAAGTTTCATCTCTAGGGCCCTTAATGGCAGGAATTCCTGGAGCCAGCAAATGAGTAATGTTAAACCTATGATTAGATGATGAGGCCATCAAAGACACAAGACCCTAATGCTACATTCCAGTTTATTCCTGAGAATTGCAGTAAAACCAAAGGCTATGGAAGACAGGACTGTAAGTTATTCCTTCCCTCAAAACAAATGTTTCAAGAGTTGCTAAAAAGAAAAATAAAAAAATTGCATGACATGAACATAGAGCTCAAAAGCCTTTATGGATCTTTGGGAATTTTCCTGGAACCCAGGACTTCACCATTAGGTAACAAATTTTTCAAGTGCCCTGCTAGAGGAGGTTTGAAGTTCAAATCCCACCGAGGACTCCTGCCAGGGATATATTTTTCTTTTACTTTTCCCTAACTGATATCCCTCTAAAAGAGGAAGGAAAAAAAGAGAAGAGAAAAAAGGAAAAGAAGATCTAATGATTTCCTTATGTCACAAGCTTGAAGAAATGCAGCCTACAGACTGGCAAGACACAGGTAAGTTGGAACACCCTTCCCCAAAATCAGCTGTAAATGTTTATTATTTTCAGAGAGATTCCTCAAAAGTAGATCTTAATTTCAATTGCCCCCAGAAACTCATTTGTTTTCAGTACATTTTTGGTGTATGCTCTCAATGTGCAGCAGTGAATGCTCAAGTAAAGCTATAAACAAGTAATTTTCTTCAATAATAATGTAACAAGTTAACCTGGGCATTTTATACACTAACTTGGTTTGAGTTGAACTGGTATTATAATTCTGTGGGGAACCTGGTAAATGAAACATTGTCATGAGATTTTAGAGAATTATAAAAACTTGCAAAGCTATTTGGATCTGTTAGGCCATTGTATTTTTCTTATATTTTACAAAATGAACAAAGTTCTCAAATGTTTGCTGATAACCTGTAGTTTAAAGTAAAAGGGTATATATACGAAATTAGCCAATAACACTTCTGTTAAAACAAAAATTATTAAAATTGAGATATAAATAATCCACAGTGTGAGAAATTATTTTAGCTTTGAATTTTTTATTTGTGAAAGCAATTCAAAGCGTTAATTGATTTAGATTTCTGAGAAACGCATTATTGCTATGCTATAATTAAACAGAGAATTTTTTGAATAGAAATATTAATGGAAATATTCTGTCAGTTCTTGAGGAACACCTAAATCATGTTGTTCTCCTTTTTATATACCGACAGCTACATAAAATATCCAATCAGTTGTCATGTATATCAAAAGTAATAAAGTCAGCACAAAGTAAAATTTTTAAAATTACTAATTAAAAGACAGATTTTGACATAAAATTATGACAACAGTATTATCCTATCACATATTCTAAATAAGAACAGGCTTGAAAGAGTTCATACACAGGAAAAATGCATCACGTACATCCATACACTTTTAGAAAGCAAATGCAAATATGCTTTGTATACCCTGTGAATACAGAAAAACTATGAAATATACATTTTAAAAAAATATACAAGTTATATGTTACCAGAAGAGAGTAACTGAAATGTTAGAGTGAAGTAAACTGCAAGATGCAATTATTAGGCTGACAGCAATCTAGCACTAGGCAAGAAATTAATACAATCAAAACTAGAGAATGTCTTACCTGTGAACAAAGCAGCATAACCAGTTCAACCACTGAAGTACTTGACTTCATACAAACCAGACCTGCAATAAACAGTCAAAAGTGAATTTAAAAGATATTTTGCTATTATAGCTCCGTGGTTTCTGAAATCCATAAAATATGTATAATGTATATTTTTTATCACTCAAACACACTGAAACAAGTTTCAAGCACAATTAACTGACAATTTCAGATTCAAGAATACTTAAATATTCAGAAAGCATCAAAGAATCATCTGGAATAATTTATACCTGTTCAGGACACAATGTTTGTTAATGAACTATTTTTGGCCTTCAGCTTAGTTCACTTTTTAAATAAATAAATAAATAAATAAATATTGGTATAATCCAAAGCAATTTACTATATGATAAACATAAGTAAACAAACTTTGAATATTAAATAATGTAAATTCTTATGAATAAACTGATCACTTATTAACAGATAGAGAAAAAAACCTCTGCTTAGAAATTATTTTAATTTTCAGATGGTAATTGATTATCCTGTAACTGAAAGCTTGAGTATTAATGAAAGAGGCCTTCATGTGAAATCGTATTTTTATTAAGCTCACAACCCCTAATTTGTAGGGCATATTTCTTAAAACAAACCTTGAATTATGGAGTCTAACTATTACTCATTGTTTTGTAATTAATTTAAATAATACATACCTAGTAAGACTGTCACTATGAAATACTTGTTTGCAGCTTTGGAAATGTAAATTTACTTTCTGAGAGAAGGATGTCATATCAAATTATTTAAAAGATGCATTGTAAGGAGACTAGGATGAAATTTCACTTCTACTGTTAATTTTATATATGGTAGGCTCTGTTATCTAAAATCATCTAGACATTGATATTATGCTTTAGGGCATGAAAACACTTTGTTTGTGTTATGAAAATGGTAAATTCAAAAATATAAAACTCAAGTAAGGACTAAATAGGAGGCTGAAAAGCAAACTGATGTGCTTTAAATAGGTTTCTACTAACACGAATTAGAGACAAAAGCACTCCTACATAACGGCACGTATATTTATTTTGGCCACTGGATAAATACGCTTTTGTGCCCATTTTGCTAACAAGCCCATCCTTATTTTATAGTAACACAGAACAAGCTGTAAGAAGCTACTAGGATTACATTCTATCAGATATATGTGCAGACAGTTAATGAAATAAGAGGCAGATGTGCAAAGCTCATTTAGGGAGACAATTGCTGTAATTGATCAGCTATTCTTATGCTCAAGTGCTAGAAGATCAGAAAGATTAATGAGATACTCATCACCTGCAAGCTACCTCCACTGTTTGAAAGCTGACAAAGAAAATCCAAACAGAAGACTGAACTCTACAGTTAAACCAATGCAGGTAGCACAGACATATCAAATATTTCATCATAGAATGTTGTTTGGTGTATTATGAATTCACCTTATATTTTGTAAAACTAAAAAAAAAAAAAAAAAATTACCTTTCTGTCATCAAAATCAAACTTCAGGTGTACTAAAGCATGAGTAAGGCAAAATAATGCTCTTGGAAATGTATCCCCATGCTACAATCTTCTAAATTTGTACATGCTTTTACTTCTGATTTTACACCGAAAGAACAAATGTATCCAGAATAAGCACCATACACAGTTATGGAAAAAACAACTAAATTACATAAAAAATGATTATGCACCAGCAGTAATTTCTTTGCATCTTCACCAAGTTTTCAAAAAGAAAACCTGATGCAAGTATATCCTTTACAGAGAAACACAAAAATTATTAGTTTATGCCAAAATTAATTTAATTAGAAGTTCTTAACTGTCAAAGACAGCTGGCGTTTTTACACTACCTGTGTAGCCTCAAAGAATACAAAAAAGTTTGGAGTGTGGACCAAAACAAACATGCCCAAAATGGCTCAAAGCTAGAATAAATACTCATGATTATCATCCAGAAAACAATGATGATCCAGTCCTAATAACACAAAGCTGTAGACATGAGAAAACATAACTGTTTGAAGGAAGTCATAATTAACTCAGTGCAAAATTATATATTTACAACAATAAGAATTTTTATATAATGTCTCTGACTTTTAATAGCTTAATGATTCTACAGGTTCAAGTAAACTGGTCATCTGACCTAAAATTGATGTCTTAGCACTATTTCTCTGGACATTACTTGATAATTTTTGTATATCACATCTAACCAACTGCAAGCTTGGATGCAGCATTCCAGCATTGGAAAGGAGAATTAAATTTCTTCTGCTGAAATTCATGAAAAGAAAGAGAAGGATACAGAGCTGACAACTAGTTAATATGTCAGCAGGCCCATTAGTTGTAACCAGTTCTGTAATTGCCTGATGAAACAACTCATTGATAATAGCCATTAATACCTCTCATAAAAACGACATTCTAAGAGGCTATTTTTCATGTCCAAAAGAAACAAATAACTATCTTAGAGACTGTAGCACTTTTCACATATGAAAATACAGAGTGAGATAGCAAAGCCTCATAAAGGAAGTTCACGGTGTCAAAGATGTTTGCCTCAGTCTATAGCATAAATTAAGTGTGCAGCACTCTAGCTATAAATAAGCAAAACTGAGAGTAGCCCAGACAGAAAATGGGGAATCCCACACATCTTGATGGGTATGAAAAAGGAAATAGAAACAGAAATACTTTCTATTCATCTTTAAATACTCATACCGTAAATTCCTTAAAGTAAAACAGAATACAGAAATGTGAAACATTCATAGCAGGGCCACCATTTCAGATTATAAGTTTTTTACTTATCCGCCCCCTAATCCCACTTCAGAGACTCCTTCCAGTCAAACCACAAGGGAAAGTGTGTGCCCTCCATTATATGCTTCATTTCCTCCCCCCTAGCTGCTAAGGGTTCTATTGTGCTTCTTCCTATTTTCGCTTGTTTCTGACTGCGCAGATAATATTTGAAATAAATAACGATTTTTTTACTGTTACGTAAAACATAATTAATCTTCAAAGTCTACTTTCAGAGCTGTTGTGCAGTCAACTGCAGAGAATGATAGAAACACATCAGACCTAATGGAGGACAGATCCATTTCTGCCTATTAGGAAAATCTGTCAAAATGTAATCTCTGGTTTATGAAGATCCCACATCATCAAAAGTTGTAGGAGTAAGTTAAGGAAGAATCACAATCCCTGTCCTGTTTAACTTTTCCTTCATAGACCAGAAAAAAAGATAATAATTTTAATGCTCTTTTGGTTTTTAAATTTGTGCCATCCTCTATTCTAGGAGTCCAACTTGTGTGAATTGCCTCACTGCTTTTGGCATGGCAGAGGAATTAAAATAATTTCCTTCAGTAGACAGTCTATATTCTAATAGGTAAAAAAAAAAAAAGGGATAGAAGAAGTTCTGTTCCCATTTTACAGACAAAAGAGAACACAAAATGGTTAAGGTATCTTCATAAAATCAAATTGAATTTGTAGTATAAATCAGAATAAATATCAATTTTCTAATTAATTTGCTAAGTCCCAAATGCATTATAACTGCATTTATTCTTCCTCTCTCTGTTTTACAGGATTCAACAAGAGATTTTTAGAATGTGCAAAATTTTATTAGTTTTAACATAATAATAAAAAAAAAGATAAAAACCTTTGAAAAATAATGGCTCTGATTGAAGAGAGCACACAAATTTTCAGTTCTCTTCCCCCTCCTTAACTCTAATGAGAAAAAGTATTCACAACTCAAACTAAAACTGTTGCCTGCATTCTTCAGCTGCAGATAAGTTCTTCCTATACCATCTGTACCAAATGCCATTAAGGAAGCTAATGTAATTACTAAAATACAAGTGGATATTTCCTGCATACAGCGAGGTTAAAAAGGTCACTGTTTAACTGAATGGAGTACGTGCTTTTTACATTGGCTGTTCTCAGTACTTTTCTTCATGGTCTATTCTCAGTCCATTAAATATAGCCATCAAAATTCAGGAATTTGATGGCAACAATGACCACATATATGGATGCAAAAACCGGGAGCATCAAGTGCGTGACCTTGGCTAATCTGGAATAAATGATGTATGCCTGCCAATTATCTTGAAATGCTCTGGTTTACTTGACTTCTTTTTCAGTGTTCTTCTGTTGGCCCAAAGACATGATAATTATTTCTTTTCACTATGACTTATTAATGTCTAAAAAAAGATTATTTTCAGCTATACTGTTTTAGTCATGACTGTGGCATTAATGAACTCATGGGTTCAAAACCTCCAAGTCACCATGTTGAACTAGTCAGCATGAATTTCCATTTTGAAGAAATATAATGTAGGCTGATAAAATCAATTTTTAAAAAAATCCTTATGAAATAAGATCATGGGTTTGAACTCCTTTTTATTATTATTAATACAATGTGTGTATGAGTCTAACTTAATACCACCACAATTTCATCTGGTATTTATCAAGGTTTGCCTGCATTTTCTTTCAATGATTTTACTTTGTGTCAACTTAAACCCTTATTGGAACTGGAATCAATTCTAATATTAGCAAAACCAAAAGTTAAATGCTTTTACAGCTCATGTTCAACTAAGAAAAAAAGATGCAATTAACAAAACTTTAGAGCCTGCAGAAATCTTTCACTCAATTATAGCTTCTTCTTATCTGAAAAATCTCAGGTATGGTTAAATAAAAAGCTTGAGAAAGTTTAATCCATTTAACCCAGTTCACAGAGAAAACTTAGTCTTTATTATTCTTGTATAGCATGTCATCAAAACTACGGAAGCTTTGTATAGAAACGAAAAGCTTATGAAAAAATAAACACATGCTGTTATATCCATTATTTTATTAACATGAAAGTGTGTTAAAGGTACCTAGAAATGAGCAAAAGGACCTTAAACTAGAAAAAATAGAAAATCAGAAAACACTAAAATTCTCCTTTGTAACTTGTATTTTTGTAAGGTAAGTTATTTTTTATTTCCTAGTGATATAGTCCTCATCTACTTTAAGCAAAACTATATTGTTTCAAATTGTTCACTATAATTATGGGTAACTCATACTGTGATATCTCTGTGATATTCAGTTACTTCTGTGCCATGAGACAGAATAGGTA